TTTATTCGGACGACACACAAAGGTTCCGCGAAGATTACAGGACCGCCAATCCCCTCCTGTATGGATTCTACGAAGGGGCATTATGGTGACACATAGTGAAGTAATATGGAAGGGCATCTCTCATCCCTGGACAATACCGCGCCTCTCTCTATAACTGAAGATCTCTATAGCTTTTTCTCTCTTTCTTTATCCCTAGATCGTTATGTAATCGCGACGATCGCGACGGCAACGTGATTTCAACGCCGCGAAAAATCCTCGTTGTACAAGTAAATAAGACTGTTTTTTTATTGCGACATTATACTATCATATATTATCGGATTAGAATGCATGTTGGCAAATAAAACAAATTATTATTCTGAAGAGTATAGTTAAAAATTAATTTGTTTCGAAAAGTCTTTTATTATAAGATTTTAAAAGATACATATAAAATAAAAATATTTTTATTATTCTATAATATTGCTGAGTTATTTTTATAAAAGGGTTTTTTTATAAATATATAAAATTTATGAATTTTTGATATCTTTTTTTTTATATACATATATGTGAAAAGCAACATTGACGTATTGATTATAGGAACGAATAAAATGTAGGTTTATATTTATTTGAGAGACATGTATTTCAGAAGTTAAAACGTTATGTACAGATATGACCAGCGTATATATAACGCATCCGCAAATTAATCTAACGCAAAGTAATACATGCAAGTCGAGATTGGTCGCAGGAACGATATCATACATTTTTATACATATATATTTGCGCGCGTGTATATGCGTTTATTTTATATACAATGACGAGAAATACTCGAATCAGTGTCTTAAAAAGCTCCTCCTTTCCTGAATAATACATAATATTATTTCTGGATAATTATACATAGCTTATATATATATACGACATATATTTAATATTACATTTTTACGAGACTATGAATTAGATATAGGTCGAGATATAACATTATATCTTTGTATAATTCTATAACTAGATGTGTGTATGTGTGTGTGAATACATTTTTTATTGTAATTATAAAATACAAAATGATGAAAATCTGCGGTCGATCGTGCATTAACTTAAATTTAAAATTAAAATTGCATTTTGCCCGAAATAAAATAATCGCTCGTCGTTAATTCGCATAATTCTTTATCGATATACAATAATTAGAAAAATTGTTAAACTAGATAAATGGCTGGGGAGGGGATATTATTTCGAAGCATACACAGATGAATTTCTCTGAAGTCTATACAATTATTTAAGTTTTGTCAAGTATACATTCACTATAAACAACGAACTAGATTATGTTTCGCATTAAATCCTGACTAGATTATGTGCATACTAATTAAATACATCCTTCTTCGTATCTGTCCTTATCTAAAAGTCATGACTAGAAAATACTCGTTTGTTCTAAATTAATAGAACAAATGATAATGCAAAACTCAAAAGATAATACAAACAAAAGATGATATGCACAAGTGCGCAATTAAATTACATTATTATTAAAAATTAATAAGTATATCGTCCTATTATAATGATTAAAAATTAACGTATGATTGACTAAACGTGGTTGTATCTCTAGCAGGATTTTGCCTCTACGTTTAGTGTCGTAACATTTAATTATCATGTTCTACGTAAAGGTGGGTATATATAAGTGAAAGAATAATGAGCGGATGAAAATAGAATGTTCAATAGCGTTCAATTCGCGTTTAGACTGATTCGCTTATTAAAGTGCGATGTCAAAGACGGTTGATAAATAATAAATTTATTTTTTTTTTTTAGAATTATTTATAAATTTAATTTTGTGTTTGCTCTATAAATGTATACCCATCTTTAGGATTAACAATGACTTTCAAATTCGTTCCTAACACTATTATTTCGTACGACTAAATACAGCTAGGTCCGGTTCCTATGGTTAAAGAATGGTCTGATACTTCTGCGGAAAAGATGTATATTATACGATTTATCGATTGTTCAAATGCATTCACGTTGACATTAATCTCGGTTTATACATAACTATTAAATATCTTAGCTTAGTTTTTATATCATATCTTTTTCAGACACTTTTTCTTAATACTATCTTTGATTTTAGCTGTATGAGAATGCGATCTCTTTGATCGGGAGGTGCGCTAAATCTAAGATTAATGACCGTTTAATGGCTCATTTTATAAATCTAAAACTTAAGTCATTTTAAAACACGCCGCTCATTGCTAACGTACAATGAAATTAAAAAAGAAAGAAATTATACATTCTATGGCTTCGTATATAAACATTATTTAATTTTGTTTAAATATATATATATATATATATATATATATATAATTATTGTGCAATAATGCATGAAATTTATTAAAATTATAGTTTTATGTTCTCATGTGGATTCAACTGGATATCAAAATGGCATAGATATACTTTTGATAATTAATTAATAAAAGTAAATTTCTATAAAAAATATACATATAATTAAATTTATATAATATATTAAATAGATAATATATTATATAAATGTAATAATAAACTCTATAATTAATTATATTTTATTATATATAATTAATAATACTATAATTACAAAAACTAATGTCATTATAAATAAATAATTATGAATATAAAAGAGAGATAATTTTAGAACATATATGTATAATTAAATACTTCAGCGAAATTAACTTCTCTAAAGCTGAATGCTGGCCAAGCGAATAAATACAAATAAATCACGAATACCAAAATGTACCAGTGAAGAAGCATTATTCAATCAATAATTTTATAAAAAAATTATTTTATACAGAATAAAAAATTATTATAAAGAATTATAAAAATATATACTATAAAAAATTATTTTATAAAAATGTTAATAATACTTTTTCATTGATATTCACTTGTGATCATTTGTATTTATTCGCTTGATCTAGATACACCTTAAGAGATGCAACAAATTTGTTTAATCGCTAGTAAGTCTGCTTGCCAACTTAATGCTAGACAAATTGAGATCGTCATGTCTGATAGTCTCTATCATTTAACCTAATTGTGCTTTAATATATATACATCGCGCATACTATGTACAGATTTATATCACGCAAAGTATCATCTATATTTTATTTGTTCGCGCAATTACATCGGCGAAATTTTACATAAATTTACAGAATTTATGCCTCATTGAAATTTGCTTTTAATAACATAGCACGATTCTACGTCTGAACGTTATTTATTTGACTAAAGGTGGACTAGAGGTGACTAGAGAGAGATCTTTTTTGGTCTCAGTAATTTCTACGTTTTGGCAATAGTGTGCACTCGATAATCTCGAATCTTATAACTTCGGTATCCAATTGTAAAGTATAATGTTTAACACATTTCTAACAATAGACATAATTCCATTCTATTTTCGTAAATATTTATAATTGACAAAGCACACATATCTCTCATGCATTAATATAATGAAAATTGTATATTACTATTAATTTTGTGTATAAATACATTCCAAATATTTTTATATATATTATATATATGTGAAAAAATTTACATATAATTTGTATGTGTATTTATAACAATTTATTTTGTCGAATTGAATGTCTTATTCAGATTTTATATTCACTTTTTTCTTTTGTGTTTCAATAATTATATCTTAACAAAATGATAATTATATAAATTATTTAATAAATTATATAATTATATATAAATTATAATTATGAAATAATCTTTTTATAAAACTGTAATAATTATCCAATCGTAAGAAATGTATTAAACATTTACGTCAGTATATTGTGAGAGAAATATCATCTTCTTTTTCTTAAAATTTCTTTTAATTTCTCGAGTGCCGCTGATTAATATTCTTTTTTAATTACTATTTTTTAATTACTAATGTGTCATTTAGATCATATACTACGATTTCAACAATACACGGGAATGGGAATCTACATATATTTTATCAACTATACTTATCTCTCAATTTTTTTCGCATGTCAACTATAATATATGATTTATATATACAAATTTATATTTGATACGTATAACGATAATGTGAAACCCTGTTTTTCCCGGTAAATTCCGTGAGTGAAATATAATGATCGCGTATTAGAAAACAAGATTAACATATAATTATGTTAATTTCAGAGCTTGCATTTTAATTTCTTCGGCCAAATAGTATGCTTTATTATCATCGATACAATGACTACAAACGATTAAACTAGACGGTTAGAACCTACATGAAGAGATACTTAATTTCTTATCAAGTTTATCTCTTTCTTTTCCTGATATTTAACACATCAATCAAAGTTCTATTTCTCAAGTTTCGCCTCTCTTTGTATGTATATATTAAGAAATTTCCTAATTCAAAATTTTTAAATAAAATAAACCTTTTTTGACTAAAAAGCTTGACTAGAAAAAATTGCATGTAAAGACTAGACATATATGTATAAACATTAGAAGTTGACTAGAAAATAAATAACTAAAAATTAAATAATTAAAATTTATTAAATAGAATAACTAAAAATTACACGATGTAAAATAATAAAATAAAACAATTTTTGCAAAGTTTGACTAGAAAAAGTTTCGTTCAAAGAGAAATATAAAAAAATAGAAATTATAGAAATTAAATTACTAAAGAAAATTTTGTGTATACAAACTAGAAAAATCAAAAAATCACAAATTGTATTATTAATATTCATAGTACTAAAATACAATAAAATATAATTACATTTGTTAAAATAAAATAAAACAATTTTGAAAATTAAAGAACTTTTGCACAAATAGACTAAAAATATAAAAAGATCAGAAATGATAAAAAAGATCGTATATTATATATATATTTATATGACTAGAAATTAAATAATTAAAAATTAAATATAATGAAAAATTTATATATTTTTTAATAACAAAATGATACAATCTTTGAAATAAAACAATCTCGAAAATTTGATTAAACAAAGTTTTATGCAAATCGACTAGAACTACAAAAAGACAATAAGACATTAACTAAGAATAAAATAACTAAAAATTAAATACATTAGTTGTTGAATAAAAATGGATTAAAACATAAAATAATCTTTAAAAATTCGATTAGAGAAAATTTCTGCAAAGGGATATTGATATTACAAATATAACAAATGAAAATTAACTGTGCAATTATAGAAATTAAGTATCCCATTTAATAACAATAACAGCCATACTCTTTCTCTCTTTCACATTAATTTTTTTTTTTTTTTTTTTTTTACATTTCCCTTTTTTCTCTTTTCCATTACTTTTTTGAAATACTAGAACGAGCATGCTTAGCGTTTTGATTGTGTACTCACAGTGACGAAAGCCGCGTGTCTCTTACAAATCAAGACCGAATCGCCAGTAGAGGCCGGGTCGCCTCGGCAGAGGTCTCGCCGGAAATTGATGTCAGGTCATCTCGTTCGCCAACTGGCTGTTCGCCGCTGTCTGAGCGATGTCCGCTTTGCCGACAGTCTCCTGACCGTCGTGAACATTGTTATTGTTATTGCTGCTACTGACGTTGTTGTTGGTCTCCGGATGCTGGGTCGCGAGATGTTTCCGCAGAGCGGCTTGTCTGGTGAATTTGGCCTCGCATCTGGTGCACGGAATCTCCGCGGTGGTCCCCGACGACGAGGACGACGACGAGGACGAGGGCGAGGACGACGACGTCGCAGACGAGCCAGAATCGGCGTTGGGCAATCTGGGCTTGTGCCAACGTCGATGGGACGCCAAATTCGCCGGGCAGGAGAACCGCTTGTCGCACTCCGGGCAACGGTACTCCACGTGGGCGATTCGGGAGCAGCGATGCTGCGCCAGCTGGAAAGCGTCCTCGTGAAGCTGCCGGCAGAGCTTGCACTGGTACGGACCGAGCCGGTTCTCAATCTTGGCGAGCTCGGCGCGAGCCTCCTCCGTCACCTCGACGATGTTGAAGGCGGGATCGATGTCGCCGGTCACCACCGCCTCGTCCGGACCCAGGATCACGGTGCCCGAGACCGGGCTGCTGGTGTCTTCGTCGAATTTCAGCCTCCTGGCGTGTTTCTTCTTGGGTCTATGAGCTTGGGTCTTCTCGTTGCCGGTCTGCTTCGGGGTGGACAGGGAGGAGCCGGAAGGCGAGATGAGATCCTCCTCCCGGACTCTTCTCCTGGGACACTGAGGTGGTGATGGGGTGCTGGGTGGTGTCATGGGCGCGTGTACGCTCTGGAGATGTTGCTGCGGCGTTAAAAGCAGTTGCTGATGATAACTCTGCATCGATTGCATGTGCGTCGGGCTCAGAAGGAGCTTCTGACTGTGCAACTGGTACTTGGCGGCGAGCTCGTTCCCGGGATACGACGACAGTCGAGTGCTCTCTTCGGGAAGATGGTGGATCTTGTCGACTAGCGAGTCGTGGAAGCGAGCGGATTCTTTGTTAAGCATCAGACGTTCGTACTGACTTTGATGACTCTGCGCCGAGGAGGTCCGTAAAGTGTCCAGGTCGTCGACGATCAGCTGTTGCTCCTCCTCGCTGTCTCTGCGGCCCTCGACATGAGTCTGGATCTCCTCCCGAATTCTGAGATCCTTCTCGTCGCCCACCTCGATTATCTCCTCCGTCTTCGGGGTGTTGGGCGTCGGTGGCGGTTTCAAGGAAAGATCCAGGGGACACGGCGTCGAGGACCTCGAGGATTCCCAGGACTGCAAGGACGCGTGGTGCTCGGCCGCTGGGATCCTGGAGTAGATCGGCGAGGACGGGTCGTCCATCGGGATGTGCCACGTGGTCGGCGGCGCGACATAGGCCGGGTGATGAATCTCTTCGCTGTAATAGCTCATGTAGCTTAGACCTGGGGCCAGGAAGGCCCTCGGTAGAGCCCCGTGCAGCATTATCCACGTGCTTCTTCCTCCTGTCCCTTTTCTCAATTTTCTCAAAATTTCTGCTGCATCTTTTGCCTCTCGCTTCGTGTTTCCATGGCGTCCTGATGGAAACGAGTTGGCATATGAACGCTTTCTCGAGCCGAGGCAACTTGAGCTCCGAACAATCGGAACCGCGAAGACGGCTATCACTGATGACTTCTCTTACGAGGAATCCCTCTTTAAGTTTGCCCTCGGACGGACACCTCTTCCTCCGTGCTTTTCCCTCGGCCGTTGAACGCCGTTTGGCAGAAGCTGCTCATGCCACGTCTCGTTTATGCCGTATGCTCCGCCCGGGCAACCGCCGCTCATCCGATGTTCATTGGTCGTCACTTCCACCCTCGTTTCGTCCTTCCGTTCGGCGCAGGCGCGTTTATTTCAACGCTCTCGCCCGCCCCGCTTTTGCGCGAGCAGACGCTGTCAAACAGCTGGCAGGGTAGGGATGTAGCCTCTCGTCTGGCTGGCTGATTGCGGAGGTTCCTGCGGTGCAGCTAGGACTTCGATAAGGGGACAATAAAGGCGCGATTTTGGTAACATTCGGATTCGCATCCCCGATCAATCGATATTGATTTCCGGAAAGAAGCAACCGAGAAATTATCATCTAATCGTACGGAAGAAACTGATCGATTGACAGGCTGTCTAGGGATCAGGGAAAAGTCACGAAATTTTACTATTCGTAAGGAAATTTTACTATTTATTATTCAATAAATATCAACTTTTCCTTGGCTCCCAGCGTGCTAATTTTCTGTGTTGGTAAAAATCGATTCATCTACAGCATGACAAAACTAAAAATTTGATAAGTCAGGGAAAAATTAATTTCTGGTCTTGGAAAATCTGAAAAGTAGGGAATTTTTTTCATTCAGTCTGCTGGACACCCTGGTTAGCCTCATTGTTAAATTAGAATGTCATTGATAAGGAATTTTACTGATAATTTCGATATTATCTCGATTCTTAAATATTATTTTGTTAATTGAACATCTAAAGATATTTAATATAAATGTAACATATTAAATCTGACCAAACGTATGTTTGACTTAAATACTAATATCTGTTTAATTAACAAAACAGTAATTGAAAGCTTTAGTCAAGTTAACAAATTTTTTTCAAGATACCGAGACTTAATTAATTGATATATTAGGTCTATAAACTTTGCATACGCAAAAGTGATTTCAAGAGACAAATACTCCTTTATTTTTAAGATTGCTTTCCCTAATTGCTCTTGTATAGAATACGACAACGTATTCGATAATCAACTCTCATTATTTTTTATTTTTTCATATATATATATTATTTATTATTTTATTCTTAAAATACGTGTATTGTTATAAATAATTTCTCTATTTAATGTACCGCGATATTGGAACGTATAGGGATTAAGGAACGCGATTAATCCGTGTTGATAAAATATCCATGTACTCAACATATTCTAATATATACATATATTTTGTGGAATGCGCGTTTAATAATGAAGTAACTCTATCAATTACTTTTCGAGATAAATACCGTCCAATACCGCATCAATGATACATATGTCCGATATTGCTACGCGACGTTGATGATTAATCATTCAGTCGCTTCGATAAGTCTCTTATTATCGAGGCAACTCCCTTCGGTCGTGCCTACATATATAAGGGAAGCAATGCGTTTTACGTACCATATTTTAAGACGTTACCTGTCACGTATCTCTCTCGCGGCATTGAATTTGTCTTCCGCGAAGTCTCGCGCCGTTTCGTCTCTCTCTTTTTTTTTCCATTGGCAGCCGTAGAAATGAACGGATCTTACGTCGTGGGCGGTGAAGACGGATTGATAACCCGATATTAGATATATGCGGTGTGTTATCATTAAGCGTGTGCGCGAAATGATACGTTTCACGTGCGTTGTGCATACGTGAACTCGCAGCATATCGAGGAGTCTCTCCTTCGGCCATATAGAACCTCTATAACGATCGATCGATATACCTGCACTTTATATCGTCCCCGGATATAAAATGTTCATCGTAGAAAGTTGAGTTCGAACACTCGGAATTCGGAGCCTTAATCTAAATCCGAATAGACGACGTCGACTTGACAATCAGCTGATTAATTCAGGCGGCGAAACTGGAAATGGAATTTAGACGAGCACGTGCTGAAACTTTGACCAACTGCATCGCGCATATCTGAAAAAGCGTCTTGCAATATTAATCGCGATTCTGGTGGATTATGTCGGCCCTGGTCGAACGAGAATTTCCCCTTTATTATCCGTTTATAATTTGAGGATATATATAAGAATTTCCGAAAAGTTCAACGACTTGTCAAGTTACACTTGTCCGATATATGCTATTAATATTATGTCTGCTATTTTTATCTAAATATATTGCTTGAAGATAATTTTATTAAACGCTATATTCTTAATATAGAATTATCGAGGTATTCATTAATTATCTTGGTATTTAAATTTTGAATACTATCAAGACCGAAATTAACTAAGGAACGTCTTTATTTGAAATCTGTGACAGATATTATAATTAGCATTCGATCAAGGTTGTAAAATATACGTAAGTATCTGCGTTTTTGAAAGAAGCCATCATTCTGTCTTGCAAAACAACTCTTAAATCTAATCTAAAACTCATTAAAATGTCTTCGTTTCTAATGCGATAAAAAGCTAAGAAGCTTTCAGACGGGATCGCATATTTTACAACTTTAATCGGGCGTTTTGTCATAATTTCTCGTGACGAACAATTTGATATTAAAATCAAAACGAAAATTAAAACACTTGACGAAAACTCGTGTGTATTTTATTTCAAGAAAATGAGACATTAAGTTTCACTCTCAGTGCGCAATTTTCTTGCGATATAATTTTCACGATGACGCTGACAATTCGATGATTCATCATCTTCTTAAAAAACAACTTTATTATAATAAAATCCCGAAAAAAAATTTTTATTTCTTTTATTTCTAAAACTCGATATTTGTATCGCCAAGAAGATAACAAACGTAAAATCTCTCGAAGAGATATTTATTTAAAAGACCGAATTTACACAATAGCGGGCATGTAAAAATCACTAAATAATAGCTCCTGAAGAGAAAGGAAAAAAGGAAGGATTTTTTTTCGAAGACGGGTTACATCGGACGGGAAGACAGCTTTTTTCCTTTTCTTTCCTTCCTCCCTCTTTCCACCCCCCTTCAGCTCGTTCCGAAGAGAGGTCTCTCGCGAAAAACGCAGCGTCGTAATCCGTTGATCTTCTTACGTAATTAACGGGCCGCGGGCATGTCCGCGATTAATCGCCATAAATATTTCCGCGATACTGATGGACGTGTCCAGAGCGCGCGTTTACGTGCCTTCTCTCTCTCTCTCGTCGATGCACCCGGTCGAATTTGCACGTGTATAGGTGTGTATACATGTATATATATGTATGTGTGTTGTGGGTCCGAATGGCGGTTAATCCACATTCCCTTGAGACTTGCCAAGACCGAGAACAATCACGCTATAATTGGACGAGAGGCTGTCGAGTTACCCTTCAAGAAAACTACCCCCTACCTCCCTCTCGAAGACGAGGACCCGATTGACGCAATCATCACCGGTTATCGTCGATCATCATCGTCGTTCGCGGAATAAAATCCCTAACAAAGAGAAAACGAGAGGAAGATCATATTTTTGCATATTTTTAATTCTCACATCCCCTATTTATTCCATATTTTTTTTCAAAGAGAGATCGACTAATAGTTATATTTTACATTTTATATTTTTGATTTTGATCTTCCTAGTAGTGCTTGTATATTTTTACATATTTTATTTACACATCTTCTATTTATAATCCCTATTTTTTCCTGAAGAGAGATTAACTAATAGTTATATTTTTGAATTTTTGATCGCTCTAGTAGTATATTTTTGCATATTTTTAATTACACACTCCCTATTTTTTTCGAAGAGAGATTAACTAATAGTTACATTTTTGATTTTGATCTCTCTAGTAGTACTTTTGCACTCAGAACGGTAGTAGTTATATATGTATTATTATGGCATAGGTGGAGGGGGAAATATTGCAACACGGAAATCCGTTCGCGTACATTCGCCCCGATAATCTCGCTTCCTCTCGCCAAAGCCTTCTCTCTCTCGCTCCTCGGGCATAAAATTTCAACGCGCGTATCCCGGCGTAATCATTCCGCCGGGCGAACGAAAACAAGTGGCAAATGGTCCATTATTATCCGCCAAACGTTATTCGAACTAAATACGGACGGATGTAAAATATAGGTATTAACGCGAACGAGCGAGCGGAACGGTCGATGCGGATTTGCCATGATTATTTGATACCGATGGCGAAACATTTTGCCACGTGTTGCGCGGAACATGTACAGAATGCGTTTCGCGGAACCTATATATATATATATAAATGTATATTATACACACATACACACACACACACACACACACACATATATATATACTATATGAAAATATCCGCGCACGATGCATCGGATTACCGACACGAGCGGAAGAGGACGAGCGGACATCAGATCCGGGAGTTGCGCTTTTCGCGAAATTGCGCGAAAGGGTAGTTAATGCATCTCCCTAAATTGTCAAAAAATTTTCGAATGGAGGTCGACCTCTGTTCACCGAGATTTCTAAGTAGGTATATATATATATATATACACGAAGCGAACTAAGATCGGCGGATGGAGGGAAAAAAATATAAACGGATTTAACATCCGCGGATTTATAAGCTTCTGGGGCTCTGAAAAATTGAAATTCCAAGTTACCTGACGAATCTCGTCGTGCTTTTCCGCATGTGCCTTGGAGAATACGCAATCTTTTTCTTCGAATCGAAAATTTACGCGAAAATCCACAGATTATAGGCTCTAAAGTTTTAATATCATCGGATGCAACGCATGCAATTAAAATTGTAAATGATCATTTTGTCATCAAATATTCTCTCCATTCTCATTATAGAGACATTTCTGAATCGCAGCATCTTCAATCGATCAATACGCAATCTTTTTCTTCGAATCGCAAATTTACGCGAAAATCCACAGATTATAGACTCCAAGATTTTAATACCATCGGATGCAACGCATGCAATTAAAATTGAAAATGATCATTTTGTAATCAAATATTCTCTCCATTCTCATTATAGAGACATTTTTGAATCGCAGCATCTTCAATCGATCATACGCAATCTTTTTCTTCGAATCGCAAATTTACGCAAAAATCCACAAATTATAGGCTCTAAAGTTTTAATATCATCGGATG